GCACCGCCTCAGAACGCTGAAGTTATCAGCAAATTTTTGCAGCCAATTTCAAGAATATTTGAATAACTAACCAAGATCCCAGCCGTTGGCCGTCGAGGCCGCCTGACTTAGTGCCCATGAATTAGATTGGATATATTTGCGGAAGAATAAAGGTTCCTTATTCTTCCGTATATCTACACAAGGATTAGAAATACTTAGCAGTTATGAGAGGGTATCTTTCACTCCCTCTGAGTTAATGAATTCTGCGAGAAATGTTCAAAAACTGCCCCGTTTGTCCATAACAGAAGACTGTCGATATGTCGAACACTTGTAGCAAAATCTCATGTCTTAGTTTGCTATTTATTTTTATTGTTATTAGATATAGTTGAAATGTGTTGATGTTGGTTAAATATATTTTAAATTGTTATAAAATTCTGCATCTCTCATAGCAAATATTATTTTCGTTTTAATTGATGCTCACAGCTAGATTTTTTTTGCATTACAGCCGGTGCCGTTCAAAGCCTACTTATTTAAAGCGGGCGAATTTTTATATACTCTATATATCTCGAAGAGGAATCGAGCAAAATATCAAGTGTGTTATATTTTTGGAAAGGTAATTTTAAATTATTTTCAATAAATTAAAAATATACAGGGTGTCCCATATAAAGAATCAAATTTTCTGTTGATAATTCTTAAATTATTAATTTTAAAAAAATTATAATTAAACCATTAAATTCTACGTAAAAAGGTGCTTTGGAAATGTTTTCATAGAAATACAAAATTTTCAATAGCAAAAAAGTTACAGTGATTTGTTAAAAATGCACATTTTTGAAAAACACCCTGTAACTCCGAAATGGTAACAGATATTGATGTGCGGTTTTCACCATCATGCTTTTGATGAAAATTGAGCTCCAGACACCGATATTAGTTTTCGTCTATCTCCTATAGAAAAGGGTGTTTCCCTTTAAAAGCGACGAATTTGACCCACCCTGTACAAGATAGCTTAGTAGCCGTAAAAAACTCATCGCAACTTTATTAGAATATTTTGAAGGGGAAAGCGGTAGTAATGGCCCTTGATGTATCTTCAATAAGAAGGTGAGTTGATGTAAATGAAAAGTGTTTATATATTTATAATTAATTTATTTTTGTTTTCTAAAATATTTCGATTAAAAGAAAAAATGTAAAAGTGGGCAACGTTCTGCCGATTAAGCTTAATCACGTTAAAAATAAAAATAAATTAATTATAAATATATAAAAACTTTTTATTTACATCAACAAAACTCGCCTTCTTAACAGTATTTAAGGGATATAAAGGATAGTGAATAGAAAAAACCGCTATCCCGTTCAAAATATTATAATAAATTTGTGATGAGTTTTTTTTAGTCCGCCCGGCGCCGAATATGTTCACGGTTGGCAAAAATGAATTTATAAATCTCGTCCTCGCGCGAATTTACAAATCGCGCCTCCGTAACTAAAAGTTAAATTGATATCAAATATGTAATTTGATAGGTATACAAAGTACCGTAGCTGTGATGGTATACCCCCTTAATTTTGGTTTTTAGTTAGGAAAATAGCTGACTGACTTACCTAATTTTACTTCTCTCTAATAATTAGCAGTCCTATTTAATGGAAGCTATTTTGCAGATACCAAAGTTTACTAAATACCGGGCGTTTCTCAAAAGTGGCTCACCCTTTTTTATTTCTTCAGATAAAAAATGATATTTGTTATGTTAGTATATGACATAAATTAAGACTGATTGATGTATTCAATTGTTTTCGGGCACTTCCTGTTTCACCGGGAACTTATGATTTTTAAATTGCACCCTCGGTATTTTTTTACTTTCATCATCATCATTTTCAGCTTATTCAGCCATTTACAATTATGGTGTAGCCTCCTTCACATATTTAGATACTCTCTTTGTAGTTGGGCCCATTGGTTGTCTATTGTTAGCTATACGGACCCAAGTTATCGCTGCTTCCTCTAGATCTCTTAATTCCTCATGGATACCATGCTGTAATTTTTGTTGTCCATATGTCCATCATCCGTTCTTCTTACCAGGTATCCGCTCATTTTCACTTGAGGGATTTGATTCTGCGGATGACCATCTGATACTTTCTGATCTATTATTTTACAGCCTCTCTTGGTTATTCCCAACATATTTTATTCCATTGAGCGTTGTGCGACCTGCAGTTTCCTTTTAATGTCCGTTTTAAGTGTCCAAGTTTCGCATGCATATGTCATGACTGGTAGTACTCATTTGTAGAATGTTTTCTTCTTTAGATAAAGTGGCATTCATTTGAATATGATTGAGTGTCTTCCATAAGTACTCCATGGAGTTCTCCATACCCCATTAATTTCTGGTAGTAGGGATCTCGAGCTGAGTACTATTAGTTGCCCTAAATATACTCACCGGCAAAAAAACCTACCACTAAAAACTAGTCCCAATTTCAAAATTGGATTTCTCGCGAACCACTCATTAGATTTTGATGATTTTTTTTTAAAATTGTAAACTAATTCCTTCTTAACGGATGCTATGTCAGACATTTTCATTCTGAATTTATTTTGACCATATACAGGGCACAACAATAAGACGAAGTTTTTTGCCCGAACTGTGTAACCCCCTGTAGGGTAGAGCAGCTGTACTAGCTATTGCTAAATCAAAACACATTGTAGCCTCATCTTTTGTGAGCATTTTATTTTTTTAATCACGACATTATCTCCCTTTTTATTGGCTGCTTTAAAACGAACGTCTCGGAAAAATGCTTCGCAGGCGGAAAGTTTTATGTATAAATAATCAAGGCGACATAGGCGAAAACGAATTTATGAGTATTTGCAATATGACAACAACGGTTGTCGAATTAAAAAAATGCCATTATCTGTGACGAATGTTGCTCGTATTGTGGCTTGAATTGAGGATGGCCGAAGTCAACATTATGTGTCCGATACCCTGGGCATACCTCGAACAACAGTCCAGGATGCCTGGAATCGGTATATGGAAACGAGAAATTTCACCAGGCGAGTGGGTTACGGAAGAAAATGGAAGACAAATGCAATTGACGACCGCTTTAATGTCCTGAATATTTTACGAAATCGTAGAATTACAGCGTTTCAGAATCAGCATCTGCTACTAGCCGTGCGTAGAACTCAAATCAGTGAGAGAATAATCCAACGAAGACTAAAAGAAAACAGCTTGTCTGCAAGGAGGCCTGCCACAGGACCCCATCTACTTCCAAGACATCGTCGACCACGTCTTCAGTTTGAGCGTCTACATGTGAGTTGGTTTGGTCGCGGTTTTGCCTGCAAAGCATTTTTTCGAGACGTTTGTTTTAAAGCAACGTATCCAATACAAACAGAGATAATGTCGTGATTAAAAAAACAAAACGCTCACAAAAGATGAGGCTACAATGTGATTTAATTTAGCAATAGCTACTACAACTGCTGCACCCTACAGAGTGTCACAAAGTTCGAGCAAAAAACCTCGTCGTATTGTTGTGTCTTGTATATGCTGAAAATAAAGTCGGAATAAAAATTTCTGACGTAGCATCCGTTAAGAAGGAATTAATTTACAATTTAAAAAAAAATCGTCAAAATCTAATGAGTGGTTCGCGAAAAATCCAACTCTGAAATTGGGACTAGTTTTTAGCGGTCGGTTTTTTTTGCCGGTGAGATATGTTACGCTCAATAGTCGAATTTGGGCAATGCCCGAAAAAAATACGCAAATCTAGTTTTGAGCAAGGAATATTTCCCAAACCCGAAAAACCAACTAACCAATGAATTAACACCCTCCAAATCACCACGCTAACCAACTCGCCAAATAACTAAACCAATCCAACTAAAAAGAGTCAAACCAATGCAATCAAATCACACTATAAGCAAAAAAAAATAATCGAATAAAATAAATTTTTCGGGTTTGGGAAATATTCCTTGCTCATAACTAGATTTGCGTATTTTTTTGGGGATTGCCCGAATTCGACTATTGAGCGTAGTATATATTATATTCTTTTACTATTTCCAGTGTTGTGTTACATATATATGTACTGGGATGTCTTTTCTGTCTACCAGTTCGTTGTACATTACTTTAGTTTTTGCTGAATTCATTTTAAGACCTACTTTATTGCTGGCTGTATTTAGTTCGTTAATATGTTCTTGTAGTTCTTGGGGACTATTGGCAATTAAGACTATGTCATCAGCGAATCTTAAATGGTTAAGTTATTTTTCATCTATTTTTAATCCTTTGTTGGTCCAGTCGAGTTGACGGAAGATTTCTTCTAATGTTGCTATAATGAGATTTGGGGATATTGCGTCTCCCTCTCGTACTCTTTCGCCAGTTGGGAACTCTGGGGTTGATACTGTCAATAGAACGACATTTTAACTTTTGACATTTTTGCTTAAAAAAATCGCGTTTTAAATTTCAATCCAGAATGTTAAAAAATGTGCGTGTTAAAAACACTTAGTTTTAATCAAGAGCCTTGGAAAAATAGATTTGATCATCTAATGTTTTTAGTGCTTTTTCCAGGACGGTTAAAAGATACTCAATTCGTATTTTTAATCGAATCTCAATTTTTTCAAATGGAACGAAGGTGGCTCATTAGCATATTTGGAAAAAGCATTTTTTTACGAATAATTCGATACCACACATTTGGTATTTCGAGTCCAATTGTCGTTAAGAACCGCATGATACAATTTCAAATAAACCATATGTGAAAATATCAGAAGTTGACATATATGATATGTCATTCTAGTCCGAGTGTAACGTTCTAGCGAATAAAGTAAAAATATACCGAGGGTGTCATTCAAAAATTAAAAGTTGTATTTATTTTCGGTAAACGGGAAGTGACCGCAAACAATTGAACGTCAATCAATCCTGATTTATGTCATATTACACTAACCTACCAAATCTCGTTTTTTTTAACTAAGAAAAATAATAAAAGTTATAGAGGTGAGCCACTTTTGAGAAACACCCGGTATATAAAGTAAATTTTGCCGATATTGCATATCTTACGAAAATAAACATTTTTAGGACAAACAACGTCCCCCGATTTATAATCCTGAAGACTACGCCATAATGTTGAAGAAATGGGGCAAAAAATCGTCAAACGGTGGCCTCATGTCTTTATACTCGAACTCGAGCACCTCGGACGTGGAAAGTACAAGGTCCCAAGGGAATGCGTTTCGAGATTACAGAAACCCAATGTTGGCATCGGCTGGATCGGAAATGACTCTGAGGCAATTTGGAACGGTTTCTGAGTTGCTTGCCAAATTAAAATCGGACATGAAACTAGCATTTCCCAGGTAAGTAAAAATGTTCCTGAAAAATATTTGTATATCCACATTCATCACTGAGACAGTAAAATTGCAATATTTTTGTGCGCACATATTGTCCTAATAAATAACAAAATAAAAACAAATTTCAGGAAAACCCGTTTACCAATCATATTGTCCATAAAAATAATCAAAATATATATATTTTTTTCCAAGGCTGTAATTTGTTCGGGGAGCTTTTAAGGCACATGTTCATACGAACTATTAATTTTACATTTACCTGTAAAATCACTCACCGAAAATAGGTACACTATTTTTTCGACACCCTGTATTTGAAAAGGTCTCTGTTTTGTTTCCACAATTTTGGATAAGTATGGATATGTCATTCAAGTGAAGAATAAACAGGTTCAAAGCTGTATTATATCAGCTACATTATACCACCATACAAATGACCCGTTGTCAATAATCTCAATGTTATTGCTAATTAATGGGGTAGATTTGGGTCCAGATGAAATGCGTTCACAGGTTTAGTACCAGGAATTAAACACAACCTTTTTTTTCGTCCTTTATCATGGCTATTTTCAGCTAGAATGTTCTTCTGTCAGAAGTAATCAAATAGCTTCTTCATCGTTATTGCCGAGGTTATTGCTATTCTTTGTATTATGCTAATATTATTTCTTTAGCTGGTATGACGTTTGAAAATTGTTTGGTATATTTGATTTTCAATCAATTTATTCATGTCGTGAAAAATCTTGATTTTGTTTGTTTTAAAATTATTTCTCAAAGTTTCTTTTTTGTCGCCTTAGTTTGTACCGATTTTAACTAAATAAATTGCAACTTTCAACTATCATTTTACTCCTTCCACTTCACAACACCACTATTTTCATTCGAAGACTCTGGACTGTTTTTCCCAGGTTATATATAACATTCTGAATTTCAGTATTCATCCACATTAAACCTTCGCATTCAAATTATATTAAACAACTAGTTGCATGATACCGATAGATCTTCTAATACAAGAGAGGATGCAGAGAAAAGCGTGTGATAGATCGGAAAAGCCGGATAGATCGCGAGAGTATAACCGAGAAAAAAGACTGAACACATGGAGCGACAGATGGAAACACAATATAGACGGGAAAGCACAGTGGACAAAACAACTTATACCACATATAAGGGACTGCATAGATCGGAGCCATAAAGAAGTTACCTACGCAATGACACAATGTTTATCAGGTTACGGATGCTTCAAGAATTATTTATATAAAATAAACTTACCGAGAGTCCAAAATATCTACGGTGACCACGATAACGACACAGCAGAGCACACAATCCTGGAGTGCAAAAGGTGGACCTATGAAAGAAAGAAATTAATGGAGAGTCTAAATACATAGCAACTAACTTACACTAACTTCGTTCCAACGATGCTTAAGTCAAATGAGAACTGCAAAGCAGTCCGGGGATATATGCAAGCGCTGATATCTGCAAACGAAAACGAAGCCAATGGAATTCCCAGGTTCCAAAGTTTGGAAAGTAAAAAAAAAAGAATAATTTTGAATGTACCCACTTACCATACTGCTCTAGTACTGCTCTGTACTTACCACACTCGCTAGTGTCCAACTTTGACTGAAGTGCTCAATTACCTGCAAGATCACACTAAAACTGCCTTCCCCAGAAGTAGTGCCGAAAGTAGTTCCTTGGGGAGATACTCAAAGCGGTTTGTGGAGGTTTTTTTAGTCGGTAAGGTAACAACCTAACTTAACCAACCACCCCGACAGTACCACTTACGGTCTCCGGTTTGCAGATTTTTTCCCCCACAAAAAAAAGTATTCATCTACATTAAACCTTCGCATTCAAATTATATCAAACAACTAAATTTCCAGTTTAAACTGAAATATAAAGTTCGCCTTTATCTTAAGTTTTACTGAAAGGTATGAGATTGAGTCTTATACATGGGTATTTTTCAATATTAGCTTCCTCCTCCTCTTTCTTCCTATTACTCTATAAAAGTATGGTGACATGATATTGCATTTATTGTGTCTCTCCATGTTGTTCTTGTCTTGCGCAGCAGTACTGGCCTCTGTGACTCTGTGCAGACTGTGACCTATGATTCTCTGCATTTGGTCCACCCAACGGTTTGGAGATCTCCCTCTAGGACGTTTCCCGTTTACTTTCCCCTCCACAATTAATTTTTCTAGGCCATTGGTGTTCCGGGATACATATCCCAATTGATCCTACTTAATCCCAATTAATCATACTTAAGATACTTTGGCCACATGGCCAAAGTATCTTAAGTATGATTAATTTATTGATATCGACAGTTTGGATTCGATATTCAGTTGTTGTTGAAAAGTAAGGAAGATAAAATGCATCCCTGGCGCACTTCCGCTTCCAAGTCAAATGCATCTGAAATGGTGTTGTTTACTCTTACTTTTCCTCTGCTGATCTCATACAGACTTCGGATCAGCTGGATAAGGTGTTGAGGGACTCCCATGTTTTCTAGTACAGACCAAAGTTTGCTCCACTTAATACAATCAAATGCTTTGCTGTAGTCCACAAAACACAGATGAGTTGGGATGTTAAACTCATAGGCTTTCTGGATAATTTGTCGGACGTTTAATATTTGCTCTTTAGTACCTTTGCCAGGCATGAAACCTGTTTGCTCTTCAGATATTTCTTTTAGAATAAAGTATTTTAGACGGCTATTGATAGTGTAGCAGTACTTTGCTAGTGTGATTAATAAGCGCTATCGTTCTATAATTAGCGCAGTCCGTAGGGCAGCCTTTCTTGAAAAGTGGTATAAACAGTGATTGACACCATTCTAACGGCCATCTACCAGATTCCCATATGATAGTTTGTGGATGATCTCTGTACCTAGCTCTCACTATTGCCTTTATAATTTCGCCTGTAATATTATCCACACCAGGTGCCTTTGAGCTCTTTAATGATTTAATAGCCTTTTCTATCTCAGTCTTCATTATTGCTGGTTCTTTTTCTATATTAAGTGCGAGTGTATGCGAATTAGCTGGTTCAAGGTTTTTATATAGTTTCTCACAATATTGTTTCCATACTTCAGCTATACCTTCTGGATTTGTCACAGTCTCATTTTTATTATTTTTTATTATCTGTGTCCGTGGTTTGAATTCCCGAGCGAGGTACCTAACCTTGTCATATAGCTCACGCGTTTTATTATTGTTTGCATGGTCTTCCAACTCTTTGCATATTCTCCCAATGTGATCGTTCTTGTCCTTTCGACATGCCTTTTTTATATCCTTATCTAGATTAATTTTAATGGTTTTTATTTTTGTTCTGATGTACCATTTGTTATCATTGCAGTCCTACGTTTTTCTATGAGTGAAATAGTATTTTCGAATATCCAGTGTTTCTTTCTTGGTTTGAAAAGGTTTGGAAAGTAAAAAAAAAGAAGAATAATTTTGAATGTACCTACTTACCATACTGCTCTAGTACTGCTCTGTACTTACCACACTCGCTAGTGTCCAACTTTTACTGAAGTGCTCAATTACCTGCAAGATCACACTAAAACTGCCTTCCCCAGAAGTAATGCCAAAAGTAGTTCCTTGGGAGATACTCAAAGCGGTTTGTGGAGGTTTTTTTAGTCGGTAATGTAACAACTGTGGGGTTACATTAAAACTTTGCATTCAAATTATATTAAACAACTAGATTTCCAGTTTAAACCGAAATATAAAGTTTGCCTTTCTCTTAAGTTTTACTGAAAGGTATGAGTTTGAGCCTTATACATGGTATTTTTCAATATTAGCTTAGGCAGATAGTATTTCCATAGATATTTCGCTATGAATATATCAAGACTTAAAAAATCTATTCTTTATCTATTCTGAAGTTTTAAAAGGTAAATAACTAATCAATAATTGTTTGTTCTATAGCGTCAAAGTAAATATCTCTTAATAAAAGAAGTGTTTATTCATGCTATTTACTTTTAATTATTATAATTTTAGATGATGTAAATAGTATGTAAATTTATTCTATTCAAGATAATAGCGATTCTTCAGACGTACATTATAAATTCTAATGTGTTTATTTAAGAAGGAAATTGACTTAAAATTATTACAATATATTTTAAAGTATATCACATTTCTAATTAACAAGAGATGGGATGGTATTATTTAACTGCCTTTAAAGTGTAATTCATTTTTAAAATGTCTTTTTTATTTTAATTGTTTTTATTGCATAATATTATTTTCACAATATACTAAAGAGGTATTATTTTTTAGACTGACTGCGCTCTTAAATGCAAACCTTAAATAAAACAGCTTATAAATTATGCATATCAGGGTAATGGTTTCTTGTTAACATAATAAATAAAAATGCAGTCAATTTTCGAACATAAATATACCATAATTTTATTAGCTTACTCTAATATTCTTCCCTCGTATTATAAATAATTGCGCACTCTTCCCTCAAAATCTTGCTTGTTTTGCTAAAATTGACGTAATTTTCATGAAAAGATAATATCGTAATATAAAAACACATAATCTCATTTGTAAATTTTTAATAGGGTCTAACCGAAAAATATGATTATATTACACTCGGTGTATAATTGAATTAATAAGAAAAAGTTTTACGATGAATTTTGTATTTAATACAGTAAAAATGTTATTACATGCATGCTCTTGGACAACAACATGACATGCAACATTGCATCGGACCTGGACAATCGTTTTGTTTGTAATCGTTTGGATTACAAGGTGGCTCTGGACAATCTACACAATCCGGATCGTTATCGTCACATTCCACGTATTGTCCGGGAGGTTTGTAGCTCATTTTATTCACTGTGTTATCCTCCATTCTTAATTTAGGTGGCAAATATTTGGGCTTCTCTGCCCAAGGTTTATCGATTGGTTCCATTGGTTCCCAAGGCTGATATGACATTTTATTTACCGTTTTATCGCTTAATTTACCACACGGCTTTTCGATGGCGTTTGTCGGATGGAATGGTAGAACTCTACACTTTTCCAAATCAACCGGCATATAGGACATACGATTTACTGTTTTGTCGCTTAAAGGGCAGTCTGACGTGTATAAATTCGTAAAAGGTTTTACTGCTTTTGGTTTCACATACGGTTTTGGAACATAGTCGTGTTTGTTTGTGGTAATATCTTGCATTGGACCTTCTCCAATCAGTTTGTGCTCACAAGGTCTAATCGGACTTCTCGGTGGTACATTAACAGGCTTATAAGACATTTTATTTACGGTGTCGTCGGACATTTTACCTTCTCCAACGCACAAGTTATTTTCAGGGATAATTTGCTTCGGTTTGTCCGCTTCGACGGGAATATAACTCTTCTTGTATATTGTGTCATCAGTCATCTTTAGCTCTGGCGGAAGATATGTTCTTTCCGGTGCAAAAGATTTTGGTCTAGGCGGCTGAATATACTTGCATTTTTTTCGTGGTTTGGGCGGTGGTTTTGGAGGACACGGAACAGTTACCGGGACGCAAACATTACAACAATTCGGATTATCATTTCCTTCTCCTCTAAGATGAACATTAGGATCACAAGGATTCACCATGTATTTAGGTAAAGTATCCGCTATAATCGGAAGAGTACATTCTGGTGGGCAAGGCTCACATGGAGGTGGGCATGGTTGCGTTGACCTTTCTGGTGGTGGACTAGGAGGGTCGGGAGGTACACATGGAGCACATGGAGGTGGACATGGGCACGGGCAGGGAGGGCATGGACTTTGAGGCTGTTGAATCTTAGGTGATTTGGATCCTTCGAGATGAGGGTCGGGAGGTACACATGGAGCACATGGAGGTGGACATGGGCACGGGCGGGGAGGGCATGGACTTTGAGGCTGTTGAATCTTAGGTGATTTGGATCCTTCGAGATGAGGGCTAGCAGGACACGGGCATTGATCCTGTTGTTGCTTGGGAGATGCGGCTCCTTGGGGATGAGGACTTGGAGGACAACTTATTTTTGATCTGGATTGCCTCCGCGAAGCTTGTTGGCTACAAGGTTGGCAGGAAGCCATTTTGCACTATGTTCGAGTAAAAAGAAAAAAAGTAATAAATATGGTTTAAATGACACTGACAACAAATTGAAAGATCATGTTTGGTGTTGTATTTATTAGATTGACAACTTTAAAATCAGAATATGTTCCAATTTGACAAACCTTTTTATATTTCAGTTTTATTCAAGAGTTTGTCGCTGATCCTCTGGATGGTGTGTCATTACTCTTAGATCTCTTGAGGGCTATTCAAGTAGGACAATCGAATACCGTAATACATGGACCGCCAGGCTCAACTGGAACTGTTGGTAAAATACCACCATCGCTTCAAAGGAGAGCTTTACTTGATGAATTGTCTTGTCTGCAATGTTTGTTAAATTGTTGCATAAGGTAAATTATTACGTCATGGTTTTACTAGAGTTAAAAATTGCATATATTAATAAGATAAAGAAATATCATTGAAGAATATACATTTGTTGATATTTCTTTTAAATTGAAATTTATAACAAGAGTTCTTTTACAACAAATTCTGTGATATAGGCAACGTGATTAAACTGGATTTTTGAATTGCAGATATAAGGAATCATTGAGGAAGTTGATTTCATCATCGGCTGGTTTGTTTACCGTTGCAGTCTGTATAATGAGTAACGTAAATAAATCGAGAATAATAGCTTTGCAGGTGAGTGGCGCTCTAACGATCTTGTCGTTCGATCTCTGCAGATTTTTATCCTATTCTGAACTGCGAAATATTTTTTATTCTTTTTATATTAATTTTAGAGACTACTTATAGAAATACAAGTTCCTTAGAAATTTCATGTATTTAAATAATACCAATACAATAACATACCTAACAAAACTAATTTAAATCACTGTCCGAGTTGGAAATTATGAAAATTAATGATAGAAATAATTGTTTTTTATGTCGTTTTTAGGAGAGGCAATCATTTAAACTAATTAGTAATAAATTAGTTATGAAAACACAACATTGTGTTCACTTTATATTCAAAATGTCGTACACACGGGTACCTACTTTTGAAAATCGCAAAATATACAGTAAAGGTTGAAGTAAGAATCTCCAGCAGAAGATTGATATTGTATTTTTTTCGGATCATTTATATTATAATATGTATACTTTTTTACAACTACTTTTAATTAGCTTTGATTTATTTTATCATTTTACATTTTTGCTTATATCTACAATGCGAGTCTCTAACCTAGAATAAATTCAATATATGGAAGATTAAAAAAAAAATAATTTAAAATAATATGTTTTCTACGCTGTCAGTAAAGAATAACTTCTGATCTGCATACCTCAAGTAATTTACGGTCTCCCCGTTAATCTTGACTCATTTGTTCATCTCTGTCATGGCTTCCATGAAGATCTTTTCTTAATACGAGGTGTTCCTTAATGTTCTTTGGACTTACTCTAAGAGAAAAAACTTTATATGAATGACAATCATTCATATAAAAGCTTACTTCGGGTTTCTCTTATTACCGATTCTGAACCGTCCTAGAACAGTGATGCGTATGCGCAAAAGGAAATATGAAGACATTATTTTATTTGCGCATGCGCTGCAGAGTTCTAGGACGGTTCAGAATCGGTAATAACAAGAACCCGAACAAAGCTAAAGTTAAAACCTAACCTAACTAAACATCTTAAATTTTGAGATACAGGGTGGAAAATTAAAAAAAAAAATTTTTTCATAATAACTCTGATTTTATTCCATTTGTCTTTATGAAACTTTATACACATCTTCTGTGCATCAAAATACCTTTTTTAGCGTACAAATAATTTTATTTATTTCAACCAGTGCCGTCCATACGGGTTTTACATTAAATATTTTACTTAATTTGAGAAAAAAGTGGTACTGACTTCTCTTAAAATAAAAATTATTTCCAAAATATCCATACATTTCTAAACATTTTTTATCTCTTGATTTTTTTTCGTCCCACGTATAGTTATTGTTTTAGTGACTGTTGTGAGGAAATAATTTCTTCATTGGCTGGAAAATTTTTAAATCTATATGCTGGAAGGAAATTAAGAAATAAAACTTTTTTTTTTGTATATCAAAATCAGCATTTTGATGCATGGAAGTCGTGTATCAAATATAGACCGATACTAATATAGAAAAAAAATAGGGCAATAGAATGTCCCTTTAACGGACTCCTTGCTAAATGTTAACTTCTGATATGTTATATTCTGGCATGACCATTTTTATTTATACTTGTTTAAATACAATATAGTTTAATTAAAAAAAACTAATCAACATTTCCAGCATTTATTGAAAAAAATTGAGAAAATATTTGAACTGAATTTCTTTTAATTGAATTAAATAAAGTTTGTTAAATATTTTTTAAATTATAAGGATAACAAAGGAAACAATCCTATAAAAAAATTAGGGTAGTTTTAAAAGGAAAAATCGGTAACGGCCATACCTAATTTAAATTTTGAACAGGCTGTATAGCATGTTCTTAAAGAAAATATATTGAAATTTAATGTATATTTATTTACTCAATAACCGTATTTGTTTTTAAGCTACTGGCCAAAGCCTGTGATCCTTCCATAGGTGGACATTCTGCTGTGTCTGAGGCCATGTCAACTTTAAGATTAAGATTCGGTGAACCAGTCAGATTTCGATTTTTGGTGGGCATGCTGACATCTACAGGTGGGCAAAAGGAACTTATAGCTTCAGGACTTAAGTTCTTAAACAAGTTTTTGGATACTGCAGCATCCAATCAAAAGAGATTATATATACAGGCAGAGCTGGATCAGGCTGGGTTTGATATGGATATTATTAAAAAGGTAAGTTATAATATATTTTTGAATTCTTATGCCATACTTACTCCAAAGAAAATAGTATACTGTTTTTTTATTAGGAGTAAAAATTACACTTTTCATGGTGAAGCTTGGGAGTACATTACAGCCGAGGCATAAAAGGCATTTTTATTCCGAATAGAACATGGGATATTTTTCAAAGGCCACAAATAAGTTTTTAAATAACTTCAAACGTTCTAAATAATATAAAAGTCATACCTTGTATGTAATTATATATCGAGAAACTATGATTACGCTCGTTGAATTTGACACTTTATGTCAGTTTACCGCCATTACTCGCTGACGAGTATTTGACACGCATTAGAAGATGGTCACGCAAGGCGGTTTCTTTCATGAGCTTTCCTGTGACTGAAAAGCCCGATACGTGATGTTATCTGTCTACGGCACTCCAGACATTCAAAAATCTCATTGCTTTGTTGCCTCTTTACTTTTTGGTTGTCGCTCTTAACTGACTTTACAATTCTTCTCCATTCCGTTCTATTGTGAGCTGCCTCTTCCCACTCATTCTGCTTGTTAATTCCCTTTAAGTTTTCGTGGAAAATATCCTTGAACCTTTTGAGTTGTCCACCCGGCCTCCTCTTTCCATCTACAAGCTCACCGTAAAGCAGAGATTTTGGTATGCGGTTTTCTTGCATTCTGCATACGTGACCAGCCCATCTTAAGCGGGACTTTGTAATCATGACTTCAATACACTCGCAGTTAGCTTTTTCAAGGACCGATACGTTTGAGACATGATGGAACCATTTTATTCTTGTCTAAGATGTCTCTGTTGCAACTTTAATGCGTTCATGTGTCGACGGTACGGCACCCAGATTTCGCTTCCATATAACATGGTGGGAATTATTATCGCTCGGTACACCGCAAGTTTCGTTTATGTGCTCAAGTCATGATTGTAGAAAACCCTGTCTTTTAATTTCCAGAATGCTCTTGAGGCGCTGCTAATCCTGTGCTGAATTTCAGAGTCGATATTGGCCTTTTCCGAAATCAAACTGCCGAGGTAATTGAGTTCCGCTACATATTCCAACAGCTGATCTTCGATTTTTATAGCATTGTTGTGATCTTCCGGGGGAGTGCACATGATTTTAGTTTTATCGATGTTCAGCTTAAGTTCCAAGGCCTCGTATGCCCATGTATATGTGTTCAACATTTCTTGCAATTGCTGTAACGTATTTGCAACTAGAGCACAGTCATCAGCGTATTGAAGTTCTGTGATGAATTTTGTACGTGTTTTTGCCCTGAGTCTTTTTATGTTGAACAGACCGCCGTCGTATCTGTATCTAATGCCCAAACCTCTCCCCTGCAGTTTGCTGTCCACTATAATGGAGAGCGCTGCCATGAAAATATTGAATAGGAGAGGGGCTAAGACACATCCCTGCCTAACGCCTGTGTTTGTTAGGAAGGGATCGCTCAGTGATCCATGATATGACACTCTTGATTTGTTGTTGTTATGGAGGCGTTAAGGCGTTGTAGTTATGTAGGTTAAATTTACACACTCTAAGAAATTTGATGGGTACTCCGAACTTTTTCATAATTGCCCAAAGTGAGGTACCTCTCCGCTTTCCCATATGACATCAAGGAGAGCCTTAAGATGACCAATAAGTTCTTTACTTGCACACTTATAGATTTCCGCCGGAATCGCGTCACAGCCAGCTGATTTGTTGTTTTTAAGCTGTTTTATGGAGTCCTTTATTTCCTGTTCTGTTATTGGAATGTCCAATACATCGAGACTGTTATACTGAGGTATTATGTTGAGTGCTTCCATATTGGGGTTGTTTTCTTGGTTAAGGATATGGCTGTAATGCTCTTTCCAGCGGTTTCTGATTTGCTCTTCCTCTTTTAGAAGTTCGCCATTTTGTGCCATGATTGGGCATCTTGCCTTCTTAGTTGGACCGTACATTTCTTTTACAGCCTCGAAGAATTTACGATAGTCGTGATGCGTGGCATACTCCTGAATCTGACTAGCTTTTTGGGACCACCAGTTATCCTTTAGTTGGCGCAGTTTTCTTCGGAGCGTGTTGTTGGCTGCTTTAAAGTTGTCTGCTAGTCTTGGATTTTGTGGATTTGCAGTGACGGCTTGATGAGAATAATTTTTTTTTATTTATAATATAATAATAATAATTTTTAGGGATATCCCGATTTTAATGTTTATAGAAAACATGTTGTTTGCAACTCGTGTGCGAACTAATTTGGTGATCTTGACTAATTCTTTTCTTCCAACAAAGCCTGTATATGCGGTTGATTTTCGTTAAACCAGTCTTGTTGTTTCTTTTTGTTGGTTATGTCAGTTTAATAATATATTTTCGTACTTTTATGCTTAGGCATAAAAGTGCTTTATTTTTATGCCTAGGCGTTAAAATGACTTTTTTCTACAAACGTCAAAAAATGACAATGACATGGTTCGCGAATTGATAGCAATGTGCGAAGTGACACTTTTTTTATTTTCCTACGTTACCATGACACGGTGCGCGAAGTAATGCGCGAAATGCCTATTCGCACACTGCATTTAAATTATATGGGATTTTGGAATTTTGATTTTTGGATAATGAAGAACTAAATTATAACTAATTATTTATTTCGAAATATTCAAGAATACACAAATAACAAACATCAAGCTTAACACTAATGCATATTCTAGTTATTATTTACAATATTAACATTAACAAACCAGTACACAAACCAATATTTAATCCCAAACTAGATAGTTCTGATTTTGCTTGAGATATGGGGGTTTTGGGACTTGAGGCACTATCCAATTTTGATGTAGAGGTACTTGATCCCGGCATTTAACATTCAAAATGTTTTATTTGATATTTGAATTTTATTGTTGATAGAATCCTCGACGTATCCCTCGGCCACTGTCGAAGATTTCCATCTTCCGTGGCGCTTCAAACGAAATATATCACCCCCTGCATTAGCAGGGAGTGTGGCTGAAGTTCTCCGGAAACAATGCCCAGTGTAGGCCTCATAATCTGGCAGCTGCAAGTGTTTTGCTATCATGCTAGGCATCTTTCCAATAGAATTTATGCCGACCATTTAGTTAACACATCTTTTATTTTGCTTTTTTAAAACAATCTGCGACTGGTAGCATTTCTTGGACGAAGAGTTGCGTATTTTCGGTAAATCTCAATATAATTCAAATTTGATACTGTAAAGACTCGGTCTATGTTTGTTTTTGTATCGGGTACTTAAACAATCAAAATTGAATCTTTATCGACCGTCATTTTAATAAGTTCCTCACGGCGCGCGGCAAGCACCAGAAATACAAAGTATTAAAACGACCTAAAAGGAAATCCAGCAATAATATAATAATAATAATTTTTAGGGATATCCCGATTTTAATGTTTATAGAAAAAATGTTGTTTGCAACTCGTGTGCGAACTACTTTGGTGATCTTGACTAATTTTTCAACTCTGCTACGCCTCGTTAAAAAATTCAAGTGTCGATCACCAAAGTAGCACTTCGCGCACTAGATACAAAAGTAACTATTTTATATTGTCAATTACGTCGCAAAAATTAATACTTTTGTGACGTTTTTCTACCTGGTACTGGATTGTAAAGTTAAATATACGCTATAAAATTTAACTTGCCTGGTTTCTGTATAATTTATGTACCGAAATAAATAATAGGATAATTGGCCAAGTTTTGCCTAAGTTAAAAAAAATGGTGATGGTTATTGGTGTTTTCCATTATAATTATATAATAAGAATATAATTTGTTTTGTTTAAACAAACAGATAACCCAATAAGTTTATGCCGTGTGATCTCTAGATTTATACAAGGTGTTTCAAAAAGTATGTGCCGATGATAAATATAATTACTCATCTTATAATTTTCTTTCGTTTAATTTAGAGCAGAAACTGTCCTTAAAGTCAAATTTTACCTAAATGAGTAAATACAAAAAAATCCTATATGAAGCAGACTTTACCTGTGACGTGTATATTCTTGTTTTAGAACGTGCAGAATTGTGATGGTGTAGAAGCCATAATGGAGGAAGTGCAATATTGGGAAAAAAGAAACATCAATATTGAAAGTTTAATGTCCCGTTTAGAGAGTTATAAAAAAGACAATACCATTTTAAAGGAACGCGTAAACAAGCTAGAACGACAAGTTAAGGTAAAAAATAATAATAAAGGTGTATCTAAAAGATTTTAATTACATGAATTTTTTTACAGTTGCTGCAAGATGAAAAAGGTATCTTGACATGTGTGGAGAAGAACCTAAAAGACCGTTGCAGTGAGTTACAGTCTGAAATTAGGTCACTTCGTTCAACAAAGAGTTCATACACCAAGCGAATCCGTAAGTCACGTTTAAAAAGGACACTACCTACACTCACCGCTACGAGAAACAGGGACCTTAAAATTTTGATGTATTTTAAAGTTTAACCTTTAACTGGCGTGGTGAATTTTCGTACGGCTCATGGCGTGCTGGGGTGCGAAGGACCCCAATTTTTTTTCAGTTAAAAATACATGATGAAGAGATTTTATAAAAAGCTTGTTATTTTAACACTGTTTACAATACATTCAAACTTATGAACAAACAATTTCATTAATTTTCAACAAATTAACAAAAACGGACAGAAAAATAAAATAAAACGCATTATTTAGGAATTTTTAACAACAGAAATATAACTTGGCTAAGGAACCCATAGAAATTAAAAAACATATATATTTTATGATTTTACCGCCTTATTATTTTACCGTCTTATTATTTTCAACAACACTGTAAACTTTAATGTACATAACTTTTTCAAATACAGTTTATGCTAATATAGGATCTGCATTTGCCACACATGGATCGTACACATTTGATTCATAAGATTTTTGTTTTTTGTCGTTTCTTCGTTGACATATGGTTGACATATACCACATCTCTTTCTTTTCTGATAATGATTATTCAATTTTCTCTCTTCTAGAAGTAAGAGATTCAGAATCGGAGTTATGGTTACTCTTCGGAGAAAAATCAATGTCTCGATGATCTTCATCTCACGTAAGCCTCTTTAAGTTCATCAAACCACTCAATTAATGCTTCCTCAAAATTAGCGTCCCAGTGAGGTACACTTTTTAGACTACCCACCATCCTAATAATGAAACACTCTTGGCTTTGATGGTGCCACACAGACCCCAATAAACTTTAGCCCCCACTGGTAGGAACAATACTTGATAAAATCAAGTGCGCCTTTAACAGTTGCATATTGGTATCCTAACTTAAAGGTAAATGGCGCGGCGAGACCTAATTCTTAAACGTAAACATTTTACAGAGCTTTAAATAGTGCTTGGGATCCGCTAGACCCAGTTCCCACCACGCCAGTTGAGGGTTAATGTGTTTTGTTCTAGTAGACAAATTTTGACGATTTTGAAGCAATTTGTAGCTAAATTATTTGACTTTTTAGTATGTCTTTGTGAATTAAAAATGAAAGTTTCCATCTGTCAATTATACTAGGGAAAACAACATTTTGATATTTTGGAAAAAGTTTGAAACATCCTGCGGACTAAGTTAAGAAAGCAAAAATTTAATTTTGATGCATTTTAGCCTTTTAGCCTTTCTGTTTTTGGTTCATATTAATAGCCTTTATTTTTATTAAATATATTCGCTTTTGAAGAAGACTGTATAGTACAGTAAATAAGGACACAAATCTCGGCTTAATTCGACCATGACTTTTTAGGCGGATTGTGTAATCTAACCTAACCTAACCTTTTGGCCAGCTTTGGCTAAAAAATCACAAAAAATCAGTTCTTTGCAAATAATCTGCCAAAATATGCAATTTACAATTTTTTTCTCGCAATAAAAAATGAAACTTAGGTAGTTACCTAAAAAGTGGTTCTTATGATTTTTTCCTTACGCCTCGAAGATACCTGAATTTTCTCTCCAAGTCCTTAACGCTCCGGAAATAAATTTCGGAAGCGTATCATTGATTAAGAGGACAAATTGTTTAATAACTCGGCTAAAAATTAATATTTTTTGATTATTCAAAGTTCATTTAAAAGGTAGAATCAAGAGCTATCAAATTTTGGAATTTGTTTGAATCTTGTCTTATTTTATGATAATGTAAAAACCGGGCAAACATTCCTTGATCCAAAAATTTTCAGATTTTTCAAACTTATTCATATTTTCACTAATAATAGCTTATTTGTCAAGATTTTTTTAACAGTTGTTCTTAGAGTATCTTTAAGCTACTCAGAAAATTTGAAGTATTTGTTTAATCACATTTTAATAAAAAAACAACTCGGTATTCGTGAGTGACCTTTTTACCAAAAAAATAACCTTACACAAAAAAAAAGTTTTGAAATACAGGGTGGCATTTGCCTAATGAAGATGCTTAACATTTCAAGAACACAAAGAAGAAATAAAAAAACTACCACATATACGATCGAAAAAAAAACTGCGTCAAAGACGACTCTCATGACCATCGATAATAATTTTGACGAGATGAACACCTAAATGTATTTACTTGGCTAGTACTCATTTTTATTTTTTAATGACGTTTTCTGTCAGTTGGCTATAAGAAGGTTGTTACAAATAACAATTTATGATATAATAGTAAAATATCGACCGTCTGTCCAAGTCGTCTTTTCTCCTGCAGAACAAACTATATTTACTCTGATACGTAAGTTGCTTTTTAAGTTTTTACAATCGCTTGTTTCTTCCGTTGTACTGAACACGTCGCAACAATTCCATTAGAGGGTCGAAGAACTTTTAATACTGAATGGTATAAAACAATTTGTTTGCCAACGGTCTTCAATGAAATAAGGAAAAGAACAAAAACGTCGCATCATTCTTCATCACGACAATGCCAGCTCCCATGAAGCACGTCAAACAAGTGAATATCTGAAGAAGAAAAACATCAAATTAATGTCTCATTGTCCGTGTTCACCCGATTTCTCGCCTAATGACTTTTTCTTTTTGACCCACTGTCAAAAAAAAGATGCGCGGACACTGATTTTCATCACCTCAAGAAGCTGATGAAAACTTTCAAAACCATGTTTCACGATATTAGCTTCAGAGTGGAAAAAATATTTTTAAAATACTTTGTTTCGAACTTATCCGTTTCTGTTTCACTTTTTGTAAAAACTTAAAAGGCAGCCTACGTATACAAGTTGTTAATTAATCATGTTTTAACTAATAAATACTTTCTTTCGTAGAAGAATCTACTCCCAACGATGACGAGGGTATCTCATCATCTGAGAGAAGTTTGACTCCTGAAGACGATATCAATCGAGAACTTATTTTTGACACCTACAGTATCCAGAGCCCAGCACATAAAATGAAAAGATCGGCATACTGTATAGATGACGACGATGAGGAAACGACAATAGACGAGGTTATTGAAGAATTGAAAAATATAATTAACGATGCTGAAACTGAGGATATAGTAAAAAAGGAACAAAAGAAAGTGGAGAAGGAAAAACAGAGGATAGAAGAGGCGCAGGTAGCCAGTAAGTTGAAGATACATATAGACGCAGATGACTATGCGGTGACCAGTGAAACCGAGATTATACCAAGCGAGTTACATCCGCAACCTCCTAGAAGGGCGAAAAGCCTCGTCCATTTATTTGTACCTACTGAAGATTACTATTATTGCCCTAAGGAGTTGTTCTTTGAGAACGAAACTCCCTATACAAGTACAGAAGGATCCGATTCTTTACTAAGCATATCGAAAGTACCAGCACCAAGAACAACTACACCAGAAACCTTACCATTAACGTCAGGTTATTGCAAGAAAATTTCTGGTCTAAAATCGAAACCTTCAATGAAGAATTCTCGAACAAACACAGGCGATCTAAAATGTTCAGATCCCTTAAGACAATCTGCTTCGTTCTATTACAGTACAACAGTAAACGTAAGTCAGACACAAGCTATTTTAGAAAACCACAAGGCGAAAGCAAAAAGTTTGGATAGAATTGACAAAGGCCTAGATTCCATCGTGGATATAGTGGTAACCAACCAATCCTTAAGCCAGAACGTTAAATTGAGACCTCGAAGCGAATCTTCACGACCATATTCTTTAGTAAAAAGTGTTTCAAACGTGTATATCCAAGACAATGTAGTAAGGCAAAGAATGGGTTCTTTTTCTGAGGAGAAACAAAAAATGTTCCTACCGTCCAGTGCTGATGTTTCATACTATTTTCCAAGGGCTCAAGAGAAAATTATCTCTAGCAGCAGTTTTCTTGTAAAAAGGGGACATTGCAATGCTGGAATGTATTCGGGACAAGGTGGGGGAACAGGTAGTGTAATCAGACAAAAAGATTTTTCGGGTAGTGGGAAAATAAGTGGAAAGGTAACAGATATTCCATCAGGATTATACTAAAGACACTAAAGTGGTGACACATAATCACCTCGCTGATGATAACACACAGTAATAGTATCTATAAATCTATTTGTTAATATTTATTACCTAGTGTAGAGTAATTAAGTATTGCTTGTTTTAATTACTATATTGTTGCTATTTTGTGATATTTGGTGTGAATAACCTTTCAAGTTCATAATTTTTTAAACGCCAAATTTTACAAATATTGTTAAAATGTCCATCGACTGAGTTGGGAGAAACATAATATTTTGCAGTTTATGTTGAACTTATAAACAAAGATATGCAGATTAAAAAGGGAGTTAAATTGGAACCAGCTTTCAACTATACAGGGTGCTACAAATTCGAGATACGAGCATTGGTATCTATCGGTCACCGTAATAGATACGAACATGGTTAAATTGGGGCAAAGTTGCGCTTTGGGATGTTCACCAAGATGGCATCAAAAAAGTTTTAAAATTTTTAAGGATTGCTGAGTTTTTTGGAAAAAAACTGATTGTTTTGAAAATCAATTTTATTTTTTCCTGTCGTTACTTTTCAGAAAATCAAAAAACTAATTGTAAATTTTAAAACATTCTCATAGCCACTTTATAAGGCCTATCTGATAGTATTTTTAGATTTCCAAATTAGCTGATAATTTTTGAGATACTGAGGCGAAAGGTTTAATTTTTTTAAATACGGACCTGCATTTTTTATTTGAGATTTTGAAAGAACTCGGTCTCGTGAGTACAATGATATGCGAAACTTAATATTTTTTTTGTTTTGACATTTGAACACGATTTATTTAAACTAATTTCAAGTCCGGCTCTGTTTTTTTTAAATTCTAAATTCTTAAATCTATTCATCGTTACAATATTGATAAGCTTTCAAACTTAACAATGACGTGGAGTAAAACATTGAATACGGAAAATCAAATGCCATAAAATAGTTAATATAAATATAAACAATCAAATCATTTTCTCGGAAGATGGATTAGAAATGGTAGTTGGTAGAGCAGTATAATGTACAGGAGATTCCTGAACCTATCGCCAAGGGGCTACATTATTTGATGCCATTTGTAAAAGTGAAATCAATTCATCTCAACATTTACAATGAAGAACACAAAATGCATTCGGAAGTATAAGAAGAAAGTTCAAGGAGCTGTAAATAAAATTGAGCGAAAAATAAATTAGTGCAGTAGGGAGGGTGGTAACCTTTTCGAACATGCAGAACATTAGAAACTAGTTGGTAGAAGTTGATTTATTTATAATAACTACGATTAATATTATACATATTATTAGATCCCACACTGAGATTTCAAATTCACACAAAAAAAAAAATAAAAAATTAAATCCCTAAATTTCTGACCTGGATATTATTTATTTGAATCTTCCAATCAGCTCGATTTTCCTTATTCAATGTTAATTATTTATCGCTGATCAATATTGTTGCGATGAATATAATCAGATTAAATAATTTAAGAAACCAGAGTCGGACTTGAAATTATTTTAAATAATAATTAAATAGTTTTGTTGCTGTTAAGGTATCCAAAACAAAAAAAAAGTATAAAGTGTGGCATATCATCGTATTCAGGAGACCGTGTTCTTTCCAAACATAAAATAAAAATTGCATGTCAAGTTGGTCTCAGTATCTCACAAATTATCAGCTAATTTGAAAATCTAAAAATACTGTCAGATAGCCCTAATAAAGTGGCTATGACAATATGCAATTAGTTAAAAATGTCTATACCTATGTGGCGAATTCATCTCTCCAAAAAAATCCTTTATGTAAACATAACTTCTGACAAGCAGTGTCCGTTTAGGTTTAACGCAGAAGTGTTTACAAAAAATAACTGTTTTATTTTGTAGATTTTGCTGCCCAGTGGCGAAATACCCATAAAGGATTTTTTTGGAGAGATGCAATTAGTTTTTTAATTTTTTAAAAAGTTATGTCAGGAAAAAATAAAATTGATTTTCAAATAAATCAGTTTTTTTCCAAAAAACTCAGCAATCCTTGAAATTTTTAAAACTTTTTTGATGGCATCTTGGTGAACATCCCAATACGCAACTTTGCCCCAATTTAACCATGTCCGTATCTATTACGGTTATATGTAACCGTAATATGCTCTACCAATGCTCGTACCTCGAATTTGTAGCACCCTGTATACGGGACGTGGGTACTTTAAGAAATTATTATACATTATTAGTTCAGCGTTTTGGTATCCACGTACCACGTGGCATAATATTAAATCAGATAATGTCTAAGATAATAAGAATTTTTTTAAATTAATTTAAGCCTTAAAATATAATAATGGTTAAACTTAAATTTTTCTTATTATAAAGTCTAAACATTATCAAGTCTGAGTCATATAAGTTATTTTCTTTTTTTTGTTACTTTTACATGGGTGATTTTAATATGTCACATTTACATGAGTGATTTTAATATTCTGCATATCACAATATTATAGGCTGCACCAAGCAAATACAGTTACTCAACTAATTTGCTAATTAATAAAAACCTTCTTTTGGTATTGACAATTTTTTATTGCAAGAAGCTTGAGGAGACATATTATGTCCATAAATACGATCTTTGAATGTTGCATAATAATATTATTATGAAAATGAGAGGGATTGTCTTGTAACGTTTCTTTTCTTAAATCTGTCTTAAATAAGTGAAAACATTTACAGGGCTGGATAGATCTCGAAAAAAAAAATTTTCTCTTTACCGTTTTTCTTAGTCCAAAATAACCGAGTTAATTTAATTTGAAAATTAAAAAAATGCTTAAATTTTGGGAACTACTGGATTGTTCCTGTTTTTTTTTGTAGATTTAATCTACGACTTAAGATATTATGTTTTTAACTTAAAATTACATCAATTCCAAAAAGTTTTTCGAGAAATAGCAAATTAAAAAAAAGGCGTAAAGAATTCATATTATTGAGTTCTACATTGAGCTTCACATTATTGACGTGTTTATAGGGAAATATACCACCCCTAAAAATACTTGCACTTATTTGAAACTCATCCTGTATTACCAGAAAGGGACGTAAATATCTTTGAAAAAAAACTAATTATGTAACTTTATTACTATATGATTTTTTTTCATAAATGATACCTATGTACTATCTAATGTGTATTAAAAAAAATAATGTTTACTATACATATCGAAATTGACTATGTTTTACATTTTTATATTGAAAAATATAAGTTATAGGTAAGATTTTAGCAATTTTATTGATGATTTGATACAATGAAGAGTTTTATTTTATAAAATAATTGTATATAAATTCCGCAGTCAGGTCTAATAGATTATGATAATAGGGTGGCTATCATATTTTTGAATGTATTATTCCTTTAAATAAAATTGAGTTTTCTTGTAGTGATCATTTTTTTTTCGAAAAATCGAAAATAAATGCTAATTTCTTATTTTTCTAAACTCTATATTTCATCGCTGGACAGTCACATCCTTGGCCTAAAAGAGAAAAAGGAATTCAAAAATTAGACAGGGTGAGTCTTAAATAAGTGCAAATATTTTCAAGGCTCATAGACCTCGATAAAATAAATATATATTCTCTTTGCAGTTTTTCAAATAAGTCCAAAATAACCGAGTAATTTTAAATCAAAAATTTCCAAAAAATGTTTTTTTTTCGATTTTTTCCTTAAATTTTCAGAACCACTGGATCTTTTCTGGTTCTGCTTTTAGTAAATAAAATCTACTACCTATCTTGTCAAATATGATATATATGGTAATAACCAAGAAGGTATGGATGGCAATAACCAAGAAATTATGTTTAACTAAAAAGTAAAACACATTTTTTTTCTCAAAAATTCCAATTTTTCAATTTTTTTTTGCGAAAAAAAACTCATAATCGGGTTTCTGGGGTCGAAATATACTACCCCTATAAATATTTGCACTTATTTAAGAATCACACTGTATACAGGGTTGTTCACCACATACGACACGGAGTATTGTAGCTAAACGATTGGATTTTTACAAATTATAAATTTTGGGTTCGTTGAAGGACTATTAGAACTACAATCTAAAAATATTTTTACAAGATACAGAGTGTCCTAAATAAATAAAAAATATCAAAGTTGCAAGGCTTAATTTATCCAAGGGTATCAAAGTTTTTAATACTAAATATTTAGTGAATTTTATTTATTTATGAGTTATTGTGTTGCAATAATAAAAAAATACTACCTCATACAGAGTATTTTAAATAATTTATAGATTTAAACGGAAATGGAACAGCCTGTATATTTGGAGAATCAGATGGACAATTTAATTGTCTATCAATTTGTATTATCATTTTTTACCTATCCCTTCAAGTTTTCATGGCAAATGCATTTTCTTGTACTTTAGACCTCATTTATTAATATACCCTTGCAATATTGACATTTTAGATTGTTTTTAGAGCAACAGATGTACAGATGCTACAAACGATAATATTACTAGCCCATTGGTATACAAAAGACAAAGGAAAACTGTTTAAATCTGTATAAAAGAGTAGGTATACCATTAATTAAATTACAACATTATTTCCGTCCAAATATTAATTAATTACATACGTAATTGTGTTAGTTAATAAACTATTCTAAATAAAAGTGGATTTGAATCAGAAATCAATATAATAATAAGTTATGAAAATGAACGCCTCTGTTGTTATAAATAAGCAAAGTTATCAAAAAATTAAATAACATTTTTAAGGTGTTACTTTTTACCACACTGTCTAATACACATACAAAATTCAGATATTTAGTATTTGGAGCAATTTATTATTAATCAACGCAAAGAGTGAATTAATGTAGTGATACTGGAATCATATTAATTTTTTCTTGGTTGGAGCTTGGTTCCCCCCTTTACGACAAGCAAAACAATTTTCTTTTTACTTTTTTTTTCTCTACTTTCGATTTTTCGAAATTAGAAAAAGTACACAGCTAAAGGCAAGAAATAGCTATTTATGTAACTAGTACCTAAAATGATGTTTTTTAGGACGAATCATTACTGTTTGCGGACGAGGCGTTAGCCGAGTCCGAAATAGTAGATGAGTCCTAAAAAACATAATTTAGGTACGTGTTACATACACTATTTTTTGTCATACGCTTTTTACAGTTTTTTAGAACGCATATTTGCAAATTTTTCCATATTTGAAATTATAATGTTTGAAAAAGTTGGCTTATAAATTCATATCTTAGTAACGAGTTTGTTTATTTCATCGCATTTTGACATGTCATTCGAAATTTGTCACAAAATCACACAAATTCATCAACAATTTTAAAATGTTCCAAAATCCCGAACATATTGCTAATAAGGCCAAAGAAATCGTGTTGGATTTACTTCCTGTGAAGTCTCGTGCCATTTACCAGAAAGAATATGATGTTTTTAATGA